GCGAGTGAACGGGCTCCCGGCCAGGCATTCCTTTTCAGAGAGCAAGCAGCCAGAGAGGCATTTTAAATGCAAACCAGACTTCTCTTTTCTCTTGGTCATGTCTGTTTTGGTTCTAATGTGCGTAGTTCCCCCTTTGTCCTTCCTCTGTCCTCAAAAAGATTTCAGGAACAGGTCAATGAGAATTCAGTTTGAACTTAGTGGTCTTATGTTGTTATGCTTTGAATTGAAGTTACAAAGAATCTGTCTATATGTATATTTTTTCCCCAGGGAGGGTATGCAGTTCCCAGAAGAGGAAGTGGGTGATATTCTTGGCATAGCCAACAGAAGTGGGAAGCCACGTAATCCTGGGGGTCTAACTGAGCTGTATCTGTTCAAAGTAGCAAGCTTTGAAATCCCTCATCTCAAACACACTATCACGTTATGGCTTCTAAAAAAGAACCATTTAAAAATTTTTCTTTTACTCATTTTTAAATTTATGTATTTGTAAAATTAATTTCATTTTTACTCTATCTTCTGTATCTATACCCTTATCTCTATTATACAGCCTCTATCTTGGCTCAGGGCCTGTTCAGCTCTTGTCTGGTGTAAAGATGTGACCCTTTTAGCCTCTGGCATTTTTTTTAATCAAAAGAGGCAATGACAAAGACAAATGTGAGAAGCACTAAGAAAGCAGCCTTCAGAAATAATGAACCATGAGGATGAAGACTGCCTCAAGGCCTTGTTTCCTAGATGCTGATTTGTGTAGCCAATAGGAGAGTTTTAGAGTAAAAAAACTGGGGACCCCTGAACTCCAGAAGTGTTTTGTGATTATTGGGCAAATGTCAACTGCCTAGTTATGGCCTGGGCTTCAGAGATGATGATTTGATATATGTCCTGGTTGATTACCATAACTTAGAGTATAGTCTCTCACACAGGGGACTTGGCCTGACCTAGAAAAAGATAGTCTGAGAATAAACTCTTAGTCTGATAGAAGAAAACCTACACCCCTTTTCATTGATACTTGCTGGTTATGAGATGGAAATACTTCAGGCCCAGGAAAGGGAGTAAGACTTCAGAAACTGAAAAAGAGCATAGTACTATATCTGCAGTGAAGAGGAGTAGAGAGGCCCAGTCCAGCAGGCCTAGTTCAGCAGAGGAGTAGTCTAGGCTAGCAATGGCAGCCCAGACCAGCCACAAATCAACCCAGCTTAGCTCTCCATTTCTGTCATAAGTTTGTGATCACTCTCCTTATGGATATTATATGTGTATTTGGCCCTAGGTTAGCAAGTAGAATATTGTGTAATGATTATTCGTGCTTGGTCTTTTGAGAAGAGTTAGTAGTAGTCAACTGGATGATTTGTTAATAGGAATCAAACCAGTAAGGGATTAGGAGCTATAGTGTTAGGAGTTGACACCCACAGGGTTATTCCTAGAATTCTAAGAGTAGTAGCATTTACCCTTCTGGGGTAAAACCTGATAGCATAAATGCAAGTTGGGGAAGTAAGCTCAGAGTTGGGGGGGGGAAGCACTCTGGACTATTATATATATATTACATATTATATATTATATTATAATATGGATTAGCTTCTTAATTAGTGTTCCTGCCCCAATCCTCCTTCAGCACAGGTGCCAAATTCCTAAAACAGAGATGATGAGACCTTGTCAACTCCAATCTACAAAAATCTTTAGTGCATTGATCTCTGTTGCCTGTATGGGGGCAGCTAGGTGGCATAGTGTATAGAGTAGTAGGCCTATAGTCAGGAAGTTTCATCTTCCTGAGCTCACGTCTGGCTTCAGACACTTACTAGTTATGTGACCCCAGGCAAGTCACTTAACTGGTTTGCCTCAGTTTCCTCATCTGCAAAATGAGCTGGAGAAGGAAATGGCAACCCCCCCCAGTATCTTTGCCAAGAAAACTCCAAATGGGGTCACAAAGAGTAGGACACGACTGAAAAATAACTGAAAAAACAAATTGCCTCTATGATTAAACACAAAATTCTCAGTCTGGCTTTAAAGGCCCTTATGCTATGGCATCAACCTACCTTTTTAGTCTTATTTCATTATTATTCCCTTTCCCAAATTATCCATTCTTACTTACAGAACATAATATTGAACATTGCATTCCTCTTTTTTTTTTTTTGGTAAATGGTCCTTCTTTCACCCCCTCCCCCGAAGTCTGAGATACATTCCTTCTTCAAACATGTCTTCTAGAATCCCTACAGTCCTTGAAGACCAAGTATTGCCTCTGTTATCAGGCCTTTCCAGATCTTCCTTCCTTCTCTCCTGCCCACCCTGATGTGAATGTTCTCTCCCTTTTGAAATCATTTCTGTTATTTTGAATGTATTGCATTTTCTTATTTGTGTACATGTTGTACTGTCCCCCCTCCCACCCAGTAGAATGGAAGAAAAGAAGGAAAGAAGCATTTATTAGGCACCCATTACATGCCAGGCATTGTGCTCAAAGCACTTTACAAATCTCATTTGATCCTTACAATAACTCTGGGAGGTAAGTACTATTAGTATTAAGAAAACTTAGGGAGGTTAAGTGATTTGCCCAGGGTCATGTAGTTAGTAAGTGTCTGAGGCTGAATTTGAATTCAGGTCTTCCTGACTCCAGGTCCAGCACTCTATCTACCGTGTCACCTTGCTGCCTCTTTATGACATTCTTTAAAGGTAAAAACTTTTATTTTTGCCTTTGTAGCCCCCACCCCTAGCATATTGACTTACACATAGTAGGAGCTTAAAAATGCATGGATGCCTCACCATGGTCAGTGGCAACTCATTTAGTACAGGAAAACAAGCTCTCATGAGTATTCATGAGATATTCATGTTGAAACAAATGGTTCAGTTAGTTATTCTAATGCTAACCTAATCTTTGAAAAAAAAATGACATTACCTTTCTATATTGAGTCTGACTTTTCAAATTAAGAGACTTATGAATATCCCTATCTGTTACATCATCCTGGTTGCAATTCTCTTCATTATTATGATCTGTGTTTGGGAAGCTAAGTAGAAAATTTTGAGAGAAGTGGCCTGCATCTCTTTAAAAGCAGTAATTTAGGTTATTTAGGAATATCACCTCATAATGTGACATTTCATTCAACCATAGAATCAACTCCTTCATCAGCAGCAAAGAATTCCAGGTGTTATCTATTGCAGCTGTTCTTTCACATTACTATTATAAAGGCTGTCTCTTGGCCTCTAAAAGAGAGGTATACACTATAGCATGGAACTTTTCTTATTTAAATAGTAAAATGCCAAAGTGCTGGAAAACAATGAATTTTGTCTTAATATAATTTTTATTGCATTTCTGTAATGCACTGTCTCTTTCTAAGCTGATACATTTAGTTCCAGCACAATTAATCACTCCAACCTGACTGATAACTTTCTTCGCTAAAATGTGAATGCATAAACAATTATGGCACAGCTCTGCTCCTCGGGGCTACTTGCCCACCTACCACTGCTTTGACAGGTTAGGTTCTGCCTATTAGTATTTCCCTCAGAGTTCTAGGGAGTCACCTTGAAGGGTTGTGGCTTTGAATACTGCAGCTTATGAAGCACTCCATCATCTGATGTGTCCCACCTCCCCAAATCAGTGAACCATCAATTACCTCGTATAAAAGGGCATTTACTAATAAGGAAAAGCAAGAACAGTTGTTGCAAAAAAAAAAAAACTCGAACCAGGAAGATTGAATTCTTCCTTATACACACATAATACCCCCAGGAAGGATAGTTTCAAGCAAAGCACAAAAGGAGTGAGACACACATGTGGAGAACATATGGGGATCAGGTGGTCTTTCAAGACTCCTAGCTCTGGAGAGTCCTTTTCTCCCTCTGCGGAGTCCTTATGAAATGCCACATAGGTTCCCTCCTGAAGGGCTCCAAGGATCAGTGCCTTTCTAGAGTTGACAGATGCCACTTTTCTCTGTTAAATTACCCCAAACTGACCCCATCTTTGGGTTCCTGGCTTTCTATCTCCATCTGCAGGTGCTTCTTCTGTCATCTACCACTCTGCCCACCTCTGGTGGGCTGAGCTACCACATACAGGTGTGATTCTTTTTACTTCTAGATTTTCACAAGATCATAAACTGGTTAATTTCATCTCTGAATAATTGCACACCTACAATCAGGAATGAATGAACACAAAAGAAACAGAGGCATCATGTATTCATGGGAACATGGTGGTCAGGTGGGAGATAGGGGAACCTACCACTCCCCAACCTGGAAACTTATTGAAGTTATTGCCTTGTTTAATGCCAGGAAGGAAAAGGGCAAAGGAGTAGAGAGAGTGGGCATATTGATACTTCGGTATTCAAACTCAGCACCTCCTGAATAATTGGCTTCTCTGAGTCTGCAGGAGCTATCTTGTTTGCTTTTAATTTTATGTCCAGTGTTTAGCACAGTGCCCGGTGCATAGCAAGTAAATAAAAAGTGTTTCTATCTATCTATCTATCTATCTATCTATCTATCTATCTATCTATCTATCTATCTATCTATGCATCCATCCATCTGTCTATCCATCTATATGTCTGTCTGTACATCTATTTATATCTATCTGTATAATATCTGTTTGTCTTTATCATCTCTTTCATTTATCTACCTATTTATCTGTCTCTCTATCTACCTATCCATCCATAAATATATGAAACATTTAATATTCATGCCCTTTCTATGATAAAACTTTTGCTTGTTAGGGAGTGCAGAGAAAATATTGATGTCCAACTTCTCAGTGATTAACTAGTCATTATCAATGTTACATTCGCAAAAAAGTAGAGGGAGCAGGTATATTGTTCCCCTGTGACATATATGTGAGATCATATTATATTACCTGTTCCTCTTGGCATGACATCTACTCTAAGTACTCCAGGAAGCTCACCAGAATATCCAATATGTCAAAAATATAATTATCCTTAATAGTAGCTAGCTGGTCAGGGTTGGCTTGGGACAAGTCATATAAACTTTTAAAAGACTCCATACAGGAAATATCTTGGGATAGCTTCCCAGACTTGATGAGGCCTCACCTTGTGCAAGCCACTCCCAGCTGTCCATGTCTGTGGAACTGAGAGAATTAGAAAGATGCACATCAGCCAATTACTCAGAGGCCGCCTTGAACTCTTCCCTGCCCAGCTTTGCTTGCTTTAATGATATATTCTTGCCTGAACAAACCTCAGCTTTAGATAGCAAGAGTTCTGTATGATTATTTTACCTAGTCTTTTTTACTTTTTTTTTTTAGTGAGGCAATTGGGGTTAAGTGACTTGCCCAGGGTCACACAGCTAGAGTCATGTGTCTGAGGCCAGATTTGAACTCAGGTCCTCCTGACTCCAAGGCCGGGGCTCTATCCACTGCTCCACCTAACTGCCCCTACTTAATCTTTTTAAAAGAGACTAACACACAATATAAGCTCCAGGCATAGAGGGCTGAACTCCCTTCCAACCCTAGGACTCTTTTGAAAATTTTCTTAAGGTGATGAAAATATATAACTATGGATAGCTCCAAGCTCTTAGCACGCCTGGTCCTTGCACTTTTTTCCTATCACAGGAAGTCCGTAGGACAGTGCTTAATATTGGGATGCCAGGAAATTGAACATGTTCCAGGTGCATGTCTAGGTGTAGACTTTCATATGGTTAGCATCATGGAAGGATTTCCTCTAAAATAGCCTGGTTAATCCTATGGACCCCTTCTCAGAATAAGAATTTAAAAAAAATAATTAAATGAAATGTGAAATTTCTGTTAGAGGTTAGTGAAAATAAAGATTTTTTTTTCTCTTTCAAGTTTACAGATCCCTTGAAATCTTATCCATGGATACTTTTGGAGGAGAAGAGTTCTTGGACCCCAGTTTAAAAAACCTTGCTCTAAAATGATACTGAATGGGTGGCAGACATTAAGTGGCAGTTGTAAGAACTTTCTGATCCTGAGTCAGATAGTAGCTAGAGATAGAGACCTAGTCCTTATTGAGCAGAATGTAGTGAATAAAACAAAACAAAAAACAGAAATAAAAACAAAAACTAGATTCAAAGCCTGAGGGCACTACTTAAGTGATTGACATTTTTGTAACCAGTGGAAGCAATATGATAACATTACCAGATAATGTTGGTGACCTATTGCACCAGAGGCCCAGGTTTCCCATCCTTATATGTGCACTGCCCAGTGGAGTCTCATGAATTGTTTTTGAGCAGATATGTATCCACAGAGTACAGTGAACCTGGAGTAGCTTGTTTGGGCATATCCAGGTGTAAGTTAAGGGATGCCCGCTGATGTTACATACATACGTGTGTATACACACACACACACACACACACACACACATATATGCAACTGTATGTACATATATAGCATACTTATACAAATACACACACAAGTATATATATATACATATATATATATGTATATATATATGTATATATATACATATATATATGTATATATATGTATATATGTATATATATATACATATATATACGTATATATATGTATATATATATGTATATATATATATATATATATATATATATATATATATATGAGTATTTATACAAGTATGTATACATGTATATATATATAGGACCTCCAGCTCTACAGGGCACTGGAAAAAGGAAACTATGCACAGGGGTAAAATCTCTAAAAGGGAAAGAAGAGTTTAATTTGTTGGCAAACTTATGTTTCTGCTTCTATCCTTAGTTAATAACTTACACACATTTTCACTTGGCAGCTTCATCGACAAGGATTGGATGGTGAACGTATTTGTACTTTGCACCTGCTGGCAATGTTTGTTTTGAGAAATGAAGCCTTTTTGCTTGAAAACATCAAGTGTGTTTTTGTTTTCCTTCTTTTGCCTTCAGTGTACCATTCACCATATTGATATGCCTGCATTTTAAAAAATAAAAACAATGCTTTGTTGCTCATTTTAAGCTATTAATCTAGTCCATAAGTATTTATATGTATATACACATATGTATATATATATATGAGCATATGCATGTATATTTGCATGTCTATGTATGTGTATGTACACATGCTTGCATACATGTATATCTTGGATGGGTTTTACAATGAACCGGGATGAGCATTGCGTAGGAGGAAGAAATCAGACTGGATCACATTTGGGAAATTGTCTAGGGTTTCAACGATCCCAACTGACTTCCTGATCCAGAAGTCTTTTTTTTTTTTAAAACCATGATTATTTCCTTAGTGAAGCTATGTAGATATGTAGATGTGAGCTACAGTTGTTAGAGGGGTTATCCAAGCCATTGATATAACAGATTCAACAGAGTACTGAAGTGAATAAGTACTTTGTTGTTGTTCAGTCATTTTTCCTATCATGTCTGACTCTTCATGACCCCATTTGGGATTTCTTGGAAAAGACACTGAAGTGGTTTGCCATTTCCTTTTCCAGCTCGTTTTACAGATAAAGAAACTGAGGCAAACAGGGCAAGTGACTTGTGCAGGGTCACACAGATAAGTAAATGTCTGAGGCTGGGTTTGAACTCTGGAAGTTTTTCTGACTCCAAGCCCAGGACTCTATCCGCTGTGCCACCTAGCCACCTCATATATAAGTAACAAGGTATCACAAAATTCTTAGTGCAAGTCTTACTAAAGCTTAAAAACTTACTAAAACCTTTGGAACACTTTTTAGAGTATTCAGAAAAATTGGTAGAATACAACCATTTCAAAAAATGAGAATATGTTATATTGATAAAATAGTTCTGTTGTTGTTCATCCTTTATTCTCAAAGAGGACCAATGACATCACCAATTGACTTGTGTGTGAATTGGATTTAAATGAGGCAGAGCTGTAAAGTAATCAACCTCATTCTCTCCTCCAGTGATCTAAGTCCTATATTAGAAAAGACTGACTTCTAGTCATCTCATTAACTCTTCAAATTAGATATTTGGAGATATACTTTCAGGGTTCCCATTTATCCAGGTTTCTTCCCCCCTCCTTTTAAAATCTAGTTTCTTTCTTTACACAAGACTTATTTTTCTTCTAAATTAAGCTGTGACTTCTTTCCTGTGAAAGCAAGGGAACTAGCACCAGAAATGGGAGTGGTGGTGTTTAGAAATTCAAGTCAAATCCTCAAGCATTTATTAATCACTATGTGCTAGGTGGCACAGTGGATGGAACACTGGTCTTGGGATCAGGAAGACTCATCTTCATGAGTTCAAATCTGGTCTCTAACACTTACTAGCTATGTAACCCTGGGCAAGTCACTTAACCCTGTTTGCCTCTGTTTCCTCATCTGTAAAATGATGTGAAGAAGGAAATAGCAAACCACTCCAGTATCTTAGCCAAGAAAACCCCAAATGGGGTCACAAAGAGTTGGATATGACTGAAATGACTTAACAACAACAACAGTAGTAGCAGTAACAATGTACTGGGTACTGTGCTAAGCACTAAGGATACGACTAGGAAGAAAAAAATAGTTCCTGACCTCAAGGCGCTTATATTGTAATGGGGGAAGAGAACACAAAAGGAATCTAAAAAGTTGAGTTTGAGGGTGGAAGAAGATATCTGCCCCTAGGCACAATGGAAAAAGAAATCCTGAAAGGAAGGGCCAGGGTCCGAGAGGAATGAAGGAGTGAACATGTCTGGTCTGCAAACCCTTCCTTAAAACGGAGGTTCCTGGAGAAATGGGCTAAATCAAAGGAAAGGGCTACAGGGGCCAGGTTCCTTGTAATTTCTGACATTTTCAGATTGGGCTGGATGGTCAATGAGATCAATATGCCTTGGATGCTTGCTGTCATTCTTTGCTCACAAAATATGATGAGGAAGTACTTTGTTTACCAAAGAATGCTCACAAAGCTATTTAATAAATCTGAATTTCTGGTTATAAAATGCATGGGGGTGGCATTCTAGGGAGGGGAATCATCCAACACAAAACTGGTGAGATGAATTTAGAATTACACGTTTAAAGAACTGCTGAACTTAAAATTACTTTTTAAATAGAATATGTCAAAATAGAACATTTTTTGATTTGTTTTTTTATTAATATATTTTGAATTATCAACAATCACTTCCATAAGCTTTTGAATTTTAAATTTTTCTCCCCCTTCCTTCCCAGCTCCCTCTCCAAGATAGCTCGCAATCTGATATAGGCTATACATATACATTCCTATTAAACATATTGTCACATTAGTGATGTTGTAAGGAAGAATTAGAACCAATAGGAGGAACCTCAAAAAAGAGAAAACAAAACAAAACGGAAGAAAAAAATAGTAAATAGTGTGCTTCGATCTGCATTCAAACTATAGTTCTTTCTTTGGATGCAGATAGCATTTTCCATCATGAGACCTTTGGAGACGTCTTAGATTCTTTTATGAAATAGGACATTTTTATGAACAAAGCAACTATCTTAAAACTACTTTCCTCTGGGACCTAGTTTGTTATATTGGCTTGTAGTTGGGTATATGATTTCTACTAGAGGTGTTATATTATGTTGAACTAAGCATGAAAACCAGCTGGAAAATGTCTTTGCCTAATTTCAAGGCTGAATTTTCCATAAAGGTTTCTAAATTTGTGAATACAGTTGCTATTTGAACATCTTAACACATAACTGTTTTACAGCCTAAGCTTAGCTTTGCATGAGTAAATTGTATCTGCATATATAACCCAAAAGCAACCTGGCATAGTGTGTAGAACTAGTCTAGAGTCAAGAAGGTTTAGGTTCAAGTGACTTCTGATGCATAATGGGTGTATGGCTCTGGACGAGTCACTTCCTTATCTCAGTGTCCCCAGACAACTCTCTAATAATGCAGAGAAGGTGCCAAAATGCATTGGTAAAGACGGTTTCCTTCACAGACAGCTTCCCACACCAATGAAATCACGGTTCTGATGGGAAAAAAGTGTAAGTATTTGAATATGCAAATTCTGGTTTTAAACATGTAACATTTAATTACCAAAATCTCTAGTGAGAGAACAGACTCAAATTTTCAAATGGTTTTACTTAATTTTCAATGGTGTCAGACATATTTCAAAATAGTTCTGTGAAAGGCTAACAGTGAAAAGAGGACTGTCCTGGAAGTCAGAATATTTGGTTGAATTTTATTCTATTTCACAAATATTTATAAGCACCTACTATGTGCAAAGCATTGCAGGGCTATGCAAAGATAAAAATTAAGTAGCCATTGCACTTACCTTCTGGCTGAGTTCCACTTTTACTGTCACCACTTACTAGCTGTGTGTGTGATTTTGGGCAATATAAACTCTCTGAACTTATGTCTTATCTAACAAAAGGAAATAACAGGTGTGGCTTTTCCTTCCGGTCTCATTGAGTTGTTTTGAGGATCAAGTACTTTATACAACAGATAGATACACTTTGTAAAATGTAAGATACAAGTAAGGTATCATCACCATTGTCAATACAATAGCAACACCAGAAAAAAATTGTTTCTTGTTCCACACATAGATATGTAGATAATATTTCCTTTCATGAAAACAGTTACATTATATCAACACTGATATGACAGATCTCAGGAGTTTAATTAAAACCATTTTGACCTAATAAACTCTGACATGAATATCATTAATGTCCTATAATGCTACATATTCAAACATCACTAATATTTTACTAAGAGATTCCAGGTCACTTGAGTAAAAAGATGGCAGACTAGACATTTTCTCCAATCCTCATAACGTCTCAAACCTTCCCAAAACAGAAATTACACACCAAAGATAAAGCAACTTCAACTGTTTCCATACTTCAGGACACAAAGAATACAAAAGGAGGTAAAAACAATTCTATTAAGAATAAAGACAATCCAACAATGTGATTGAATTCATTACCTTCACACATATTAGCTCCCTAGTTGTAGAAAGCCAAGTAGCTTGCCAAATTTGATAGCTGCTTTAAATGTATTAAAATAAGAGAAAGAACTAAGGGAAAAGACCAACTCACCCCAGGGTTTGCTGGCACATCCAAATCACATTCAATCCATGTCTATTGGGGCACAGATAGATAGAAAAGGCTAAAATGTGATCAGTTTCATGATTACCAGAAGAGGAATTGGAGGGAACTCTAGTAAGGAATTACCTCTAGAGGTGCAGGTATGCCTTCCCGGCAATTTATAATCTTATAGGTAGCTAACAGAGGTGAAGTGACTTGCCTAGGGTCACACAGCCAGTTTTCATCAGTCAGGGCTTGAAGTCAGATCTTCCTAGCTCCAAGGCCAACTCTATCTACTGCTTTTGCATTGCCTCATACCTCAGTTTCCAAACAAGTCTGGTTGGGCTTGCAGCATTAGGATTCACTCACAGGAAGATAAGAATAAAATAAAAAAAAATATATGAGAGTGAGGCTGTGCAAAAATTGACTCCAAGCAAGCTGTAAGGTCAACATCAACAAATATCTGATTTTTTCAAAAGTTGCTGTTTAAACAAGCGATAAGACTGTTACTAGCAGAATCTTCTAATACAAAGAGCAATAATACAAATATCTTAAAAATGGATGCAAAGATATTCACAACTTACTTTTATGTGCGGTACTTCACGATTTACAAAGATTATTCTGATGGGGTGACCTCATCTGCCTCAACCATCTTAGAATCATTTTGGAAGGAAAGCTGCAGCTCATCTGTTTTCTTTTAAAGCTTGGGAAACTCAACTGCAACCACACTGTTTGGGAAGTTAATTGGTGACTTTACTAGAGCTGGCTCACACAAGGGGCCCACACAAGAGCTGGTGAGCTAGACTTCACTAGAAGCCTCAGGCTAATTTGCCTTAGGGTTGCTGAGGGTTTCAAGGCTATATTCAAGAACCACAGGAGATTATTCTCAACCAGTAAATTGGTCACACCTGATTCTGGGGAACTTCTGTGGGACCAGCCCAGATTTACTCTGAAGGGATTGTTAGCCTCTAAATCTAATGATACCTCATTTAAATTTATCATCAATGGTGTCCATTTTTTCCATTCATCCAAAAGTTGTATGTAGGCAATAGGAAAGGCCAAAGTCACCCACTGAATCCTGGCCCATCACCAGTTGTCTTGATCTTTTACCACTGGATTTTCGTGACTGAAAGAAAAAGTGAGGCTGATAACTTTGTGCAGCTCTGCCCCACTTATATCCAATTCACACGCAAGTCAAGACATCACCCTCATGATGTCATTGGTCTTCTTTGAGAACAAAGGATGAACAATATATAGGCAATAATTGAGTCAATTGTAAGGATAAGTCAGATCATGTAAACACTGTTTCCTTAGTGTTCTAGTGAAAACAAAGATAAAATACCTGGATAATTTTCTTTTTTATCCTTTACTTTGCAAATCCAGATATAACATACATTTCATTTCAATTACATTATTGTTATTATTATTATTACTGTGGAGCCAGCTGTATTAAAGTATAAAGTCATGGATGCCATAGAAATTACATTGGGTTCTAATACCCCCCTTCACCATCACAGGAATCAAAGGCTTAGAAGAGACACAGCCAGGTAAGGCTTATGCTAATCAACAGGTGACAATAGAATCCAGAGGAGGCAGATTCAGATTCCTGCCTTCAGCAGCAATAACTTAAATTTACACTAGTGCTTCAAGGTTTACAAAATGCTTTCCTCCCAACAACCTTATGAGGTAATCAATGTAAATATTATTCTCCACATTTATTTCTACCGATGAAGCCTGCATAGCTGCCTTCATTTTATCTGGTTGCAGTTCAATGTCAACTACTGGATCCTATCTAAGACAACCAACCTCAGCCAGTCTCTGGCCTCATCTCTGTGATTCTGCAACATCAGTACACTGAAAATATTAAGTATTTTAATTTGATAGAATATTTTGGATTGAAAAAATGTCAGAAATATATCTCTAGTCTACATAAACTCATGGGATGAAGTCACTGTCCCCCCCCCCCCGTGATTTCATTGGTATAAGGGGTTCCCAGTAATGAAACTTCTTTTACCAGAGCAAACTGGCAAGTATTCTACTCGTTATAGTCTTGAGGGGTAGCTAAGTTGCACTGAGAGGTTAACTTGTCCACAGACACAGAGTCATTAGTGTCAAAGGAAGGATTTGAACCCGCGGTTCTCTGCCCATTTTATGCCACACTACTGAGTCACTTTTTGGGAAGATAAAATACAAGAGCAGAGTTCCTAACTATAAAAATTATTTAGACCCCACCCACGTTTTCAAGTTTTTTTTTTGCTAGAATAAGATGATGGCTCTCCAGAGTCCTTGAGGAATTCCTTCTTTTAGCTAGCTAAATTGCCTAGATTGCTGAGGGTTTATATCTTCTTTATGTAGTGAAATTTTTTTTAATTGAATTATTTTGGATGCAAATCTAAAATGTATTGCTTGCTTCTATGCCTTCTAAGCAAGAGAAAATAAAACTAATTCAACCTCTTCTTCTGACCTAGGGTCATCATTTCATATATATATATATCACTTGGAAACTGGAAGTTCCTCGAGGGCAAGAAATATATTCCATATTGCTGAGCATGTTGTGTTAAATATTTTTAAAGGCAACTGTAATTCTTGTGTATATAGGAGTCAAAGTAACAGGGAATTGTGCACAGGCAGGTTAATATTCATTTTTTGGGCATAATCATCATTTCTGGTATAGATGTTGTATGTCGACATTGATCTGATCTTACCATTTTGCTTAATTAGCTTCCAGGGTGGGGAACCTGTGGCCTTGCTGCCACATGTGGCCTTCTAGGTCCTTGGGTGTGGCCTTTGGACTGAGTCCAAGTTTTACAGAACAAATCCTTTCATTAAGGGGATTTGTCCTGTGAGGTTTGGATTCAGTCAAAGGGACACACTTGAGGACTTAGAGGGCCACATGTAGCCTAGAGGCTGCAACCCCAGCCCTGTTGTAGTGATGTCTCAAAGACTCCATCAGGTGTATAAGACCATTTGTCCTTAAACTAGATAGGTTCAAAATTCTTTGCTTTGGTATTCATGTGTTTGTTTGATTTTTGTAGTTTTTCTGTCCTTTTCCCTTGTTTCCAGTATGGCAGGTTTCCCTGTCATCAATGTATCTGCCCAGAGCAGCTGTGCTAGCCTATTCTATTCTGCTGTGGAAATTAGATAATTAGGGCCTCTTGACAGGGGATGCCAACTCTCTCATGACCACTCCATCAAAGTTCTAAAAATGTACAGAAAGATGATGATAAGGAAAACCCAAGCAAAATGCCAATAAGTTCCTCCATTCAGTCTAAGACTAAAATAGAAGACAGCCAGAGGTCTGTGGAAGTTCTGGTCAGAGACAAGAGAGCGGAACAGGAAAGCAGGCCCTTGAGCAGAAACCTAAAGCCAGCAGGATCTTGGCTCTGGACTGTGAGAGCATCAGTGGACTGAGCCAGCCTCTACAGCTCATTGCACAGGGATACAGGGCCAACAGTACATACTCCTTTGTGGCCTTTGAGGCCCTGAAGTCAGCACCCAGACAGCCTCTACTGTAGCTCCAATCAGGAGACAGTGTAGCTATAGTTTTCAGAGAATGCACTCTGCAGCCACAATAGGAAACAAAGAGACAAGGCCAGCCCAATGTTTAGGTAATCTGTGTAACCCACCCAGAGTCCTGAAGCCAAGCTCTCCCAACTTTGGCACTGACATTACCCGAATGAGAGCCATAATAGGAGACAGGGCTCTCTTAGGGCCCAGATAATCCCTGTAGACACCACAGGTGATTGGATCAGTACGTTGCCTAAGCAGCCCCAACATCAGGGAACCTTATAGGAGGGCCTGGAACCAATAATCCTGTAAAAACCACTACAGCAACTGGGCAGCACCCAGAGGTCTTGAGGGTGATCTGTGACCAGAGATTTCTACATCTAAATGGGGTCTGTTAGGTCTGTAGTAGTAGATGAACACAATTCTTGGTTGGTGTTTGTTCAAGGGGAAGAACACAGACAAAGGCTTAGGCCAAAATCATGTTGTAAGGCCGGGAGACAGACGCAGAAGCCAGGGATTCCAGCAGTGGCCAGCACTGCAGTGGCAGCAGCATCAAGTTTGCAGAGGGAACAGGATGACATAGGGCCTGCCCACACACCCAGGAGCACAGAAAGGAGCAGAATCTGGACCTACCTTGAAATCTTCCTCAGAAACTGAGGCTAGGAATAGGAGGAAACAGAAGAAAATGCGTCTCAAGGAGGACAGAGAAGTTTTTTTGTCTTCTATGCAGTCACAATAAATCCTACAAAATAAAATGCAAATTGCATCAAAGGTAAAACAGAAAGCTTATATACCTCTGACATAATGAA